AAAAAAAAAAAAAAAAAAATTAGCCGGACCTTGTGGCGCATGCCTGTAGTCCTAGCTCCTCAGGAGGGCGAGGCAGGAGGATTGCTTGAGTCCAGGAGTTCAAGGCTGCAGCGAGCTGTGATTGTGCCACTGCACTCCTGTCAAAAAAAAAAAAAATTTTTTTTCTATTAATTGTGCTTTAGTTCAAGTGCTATCTTTAAACACTAAAAATGACATTTTAATTTTTTTTTATACAGCACGGGCAAGTGGGAATAAAAAAAATAAAAAAAATTTTTTTTAAGCTTTAGATTTACTGCTGGTATAATGCATATGGAAGTTAATCAAGCAGGCACCCCAAATTTTCAACTGTGGTCCTTTTGGTTTTAATCCTAAAAGAGGATTGGGAACCAAACTTATTTTGTGGTGTAAAAAGACAAAGCAGATTTTCTATGCTGGTGGTCACTTATTAGCGAAAGCCACTTGGATTCATTATATATGTGTAAAATGCCTTTATTTTCATTTTTAAAGTCATTTACTTTGAATATGTTGTGCTTGTATTAATTTATTCAGGAATCATAACCTGGAGGAACTGAGAGTTACTTTCTACCTTCCCTGGATGGAAAAGCTAGTATTCCATATTTATCTGAAATTGATTTGATAGTTTAGGTTTTCTTGTTTGGATTGGTTTGTTTGTTTTTAAGACCTTGGTGTAGTGGTAGTTTGTTTTCAGAATTCAGGTAACAGACATTGTTAACTAAAGTTTCCTGCCTATCTAACTGGCAAATCATATAACCTTGGTGACAGACCTTTCTTCTTTTTTAAAACTAAAAAAGGCTATACTTTGTGCATTTCCCAGCAGCTATTTATGGGGATGTTGGGGGCTCGGGGGTAAACTCAGAGAAAGACACACAGCTCTCCCAGCTTTTTAGGCAGTAAAACTTTCCACCTGATCTCTATTTGTAATAGGAACCTTGGGGATTCTAGGTTTGGATTCAGTGAAGGGGGGATTCGCACAGAGGTGCCTTCTGTCCAGGAGACCACCACAATTTTAGCTCCCTGGTCTTGTGAATTGTTTCTCTTTGAGCCTTCGGGTTCCATTACACAGATGAGGACTTGGTTCCCAAATGTCACGCTTCTCTGCCCACACCAGGAGGATGGCGGCCGTTTTTAACCCCTGCTGCACGTCACTCCGCCTCGTTTCACCTCCACACTTACTAACTTGGAAAGCTCTGCTGAGCTGTAGCACCTGAGGCCTGAGTGTGAGCCACAGGTCCACGGCGCAGACTTACCAGGAGGAGAGTTCTCTGTTTCCTCCCGCTCCTTGAGCAGCCTGCTAGCAGGGTCGTTCCTGCCTGCCCTTTTTCTTCTCACCTAGTGGCTCTTTACAGAGGTCTTAACTAATCTGATAAGAATTTAGAGAGAACAAGTGTGAGTGTGAGTGTAGGGTGGGGTGTAAAAAAAAAAAAAAAATTCAGTAATCACTTCCATCGCAGGGGGACTAACTTTTGAAGTTAGTTGAGTTTTTGGATTGGGAAAACTGTTCAGCTAGCCCCATTTCTCAGCTGCCGGCCAAACACAGGTGGAAAGCTTTTGAACGGTGCAGATGCCCTCCCTATCCAAACATACTTGCACACACCCACGTGCACCAACACCTCACCCAGACTTTGGTGGGGAAGGAGAATCCATGAGTTGGTAGGGTTGCCTCTCTGCCCAAAGGGGGCTCCTTTTTCTTTCTTTCTTTCTTTTTTTTTTTTTTATGAATCTTAAGGACAATCAATAGATACTTTTTTTTTTTTTTTTTTGAGACAGGTCTTCATTTGTTTGCCCAGTGGTGTCATCATAGCTCACTACAGCCTCAAATTCCTAGGCTCAAAGGGTCCTCCTCCTCAGCCTCCCAAGTAGCTGGGACTACAGGTGCACACTACCATGCTCAGCTAATTTTTTAATTTTTTGTACAGACTGGTCTTGCTATGGTGCTCAGGCTGGTCTTGAACTCCTGGCCTCAAGGGATCCTCCCACCTTTGCCTCCCGAAGTGCTGGGATTACAGGTGTGAGCCACCATGCCGGCCTGGGGGTCCCTTTTGCTAATTTCTATCAGCCCTGGCCCTGTACAGAATCAGAATCTCCAGAAGAGTGAGACCCCATTATGTGTTTTGAAAGCTCCCAGGTGCAGCCTGGATTAGAGCCAAACAGCTGGATGGGGTCAGTCCTCACAGGAGCAGACCCGGGAGGGTGGTGCCAGCTCATGAAGAGCTCCCATTCCCCGCGGTGACTGGTCTAGAGATGGCATCGGTGGAATCCCTGCAGGCTCCACTGTGGGCGGCTGACATCACCGCCTCTACTGCCATCTCATGTCTTGCTTTGGAAACCAGGGAGCAAAATCTCGAGGCTCAAGGCCAACAGTAGATATTATAGAAGGGTTTCTTACTTATAACCCAACTCACCAGGACTTGCTTCCATTCACAGAGATATGCAGCCCCTACTCAATGCCCTGCCAAATGTGGGCATGTTTGACCCTAGCTTCAGAGTCCCGGGCACCCAGGCAGCCAGCACCAGCCACCAGCCTCCCACCCGGATTCAGGGAGCCCCTCCAAGCCACTGGCTTCCTCAGCAGCCCCACTTCCCACTCCTGCCGAACCTTCCCAGTATCCAGCAGAATCTGCCCATGCCAGCACAGAGATCTTCTGCGGAAACCAGTGAGCTGAGGGAAGCCCTTCTGAAGATCTTCCCTGACTCAGAGCAAAGACTGAAAATCGACCAGATCTTGGTGGCCCATCCGTACATGAAAGATCTGAACGCGCTCTCTGCCATGGTGTTGGACTGAAGGTTGCGCTGAGGAGCTTGAGCTCAGGGCTAGCGGATCGAACTCAAGCCGATGCCTGTACCTGATGGGAACCAGCACAATGTGAAGAACCTGTTTCCCAGTGTAAACGCTGTTGTATAGAAAAAAATGTTTTGTGTACAAAAAAAATCTGGGTTTTCAAAACCAGCTTTTTTCTATATATCAATTTTGCTGCTATTACAGATTTAACATTTTCTGTAAAAGGAAAGTCTACATTTTCTGCCTGTTCAGAACTGTTTAATAGCAGTTACTCTTGAGTGTATTTACATTTTTATGATTTTTAAACTATTTTCCTTAAAGCTAAAAATATTGACAAATGGATATGGTTAGTCTTTCTAAATAAAAAAGAGTTGCTTTCTTAAGGAAAGCAAGATCTCTTAAAGTATATTTTCTTGAGATGAATATGTCATGTCCACCAACATGAAGTGTGCTCACCCCTTCCAGCCTCTCTGCCCTCACCCCCCGAGTTGGAGTCGGTAGGAGTTGGTCTGCTTCTGCGGGGTCTTTGTTGAAGCCATGCGTGGGAGTGGACCAGCGGTGCCACTAGATGGCACTTTATGCCTAGCCATTGTCAGTGACCAGGGCAAAGCTAGACTCGCAGAATAACAGGGCTAGAAGAAAGGTCGAAGCTCATGTAGGCCCACCCTTCTTCCCCTCCCACCCTACAGACGAGGAACAGAGGCTCAGGGCTCTCACCACCCGGACGTGCCGTGTCCACAGCCGCGGCGTGGCTGGGCAGGGAGCAGACTCCTCAGCCGGTGCTCGCACGCACGCACCAGGCTGGGGCCTCCACACGCCCGACTTGGCTCTAGAAGGCCCGTCTTAGCCTCTGAAGACCATGGAGGGTGTAAGGAAGGTTAATGAAGAGCCCATCATGGTGGCCATCCTGCGTCCAGAACCATGGGAGCTGTCCCGATGTGGAATTTGTGCAGCTTTGCCAAAAAGCGGTTTTCTATTCTCAAGAATGACCCAAGCCGATAAATAGCATTAGTAGCTTCCGTGGGGTCCTAGAGCCCCTGTATTTATTTTTCCTGTGTTTGTCTCCTCCTCCTAAACAATCTTCCCTGTGAGTCTTTCTCAGAATTGATATCTTAGTATTGTCGTTTTTCAGTGTTGCCCAAATTCTGTGTCAGTGAAGGTCTTTTCCTGGGTAATTCTGAACATCTTTACTCTTACCTGGACCTCAAAGGGCTTTGTATCTTACACCTGTGCGCGCCCCAGGCTGCTCGTGGCCAATTTCCTGTCTGCCCTCTGGACCATCTCTCTCTTCCAGCCCCCGGGATAGTGGCTGAGGACTGGGTGCCGGTTGGTTCTTCATGGTGAGGGGCCTGGGTGGCATCCCAGAATGTTCCTGCCAGGCGCATTTCCTCTTGGTTTTGTTTGATCCCTGCATCCCTCAGGACAAAGCCAGAGCCCTCTAGGTGGCCAGACTTGTACCTCAACCATATTTCTCTCAGATTCTTGCTGCATCCTAATGTGAAACTGGTTGTCCCCTGTCGCTTTGGGGCAGGTCGCCAGGTCACCCAGCTGTGGAAGTAGAGGTAGAGACTTGAGGCAAGCCTGGAAGGTGGCTGAGGCACAGCCACTGTGCCTCAGCTTCTCAGCTGCTGGTTCGGAAGCACAGCAGAGGCGGGAGGCCAGGCCGTCCTGCAGGGGCTCTGACCTGCTGGCTTGGGGTCCAGTCCAGCAGCCTGGCCGATCCAGGATTTCTCCTCCCCGCTTTCAGAGAAGAGACACGGTGGAACTGGCGGGGCTGAGGGGTCTTGGGTTTTCCAGGCTCTAGAAGCAACTTGACCTTTGACCCTTGAGTTCTGTAAGCCTTTGTGTTCTTAGGACTGTTCCTGAGAGATCTACCTGCCCTCTTCCCCTCCCTCGGGCATGGCAGTGGGAGGAGTGCAGAAAAGCATTAAGTGCTTACCTTTATAAATGGTAATGAAACAATTCACAGTTTTTCTGAAATCCATCAAATTTAGTTAAATTTAGTATTTAAAAACCTAATTATCAAACTATTCAAAAAGGACTCATTGGCCGGGCCGGTGGCTCACGCCTGTAATCCTAGCTCTCTGGGAGGCGGAGGCTGGAGTATCGCTGGAGCTTGGGGGTTCAACACCAGCCTGAGCACAGTGAGACCCTGACTCTACAAAAGAGAAACGAGAAAAACAAAACTTAAAAAAACACAAAAAATAAAAAAGGACTCATTACCCGTTCTCAGCCTCCTCCTAGTGCTGGGCCCAGTGTTGCTGCTAAATCAATGCTTACAGCTGGCCTGCCTCCTGCAGGAGGGTCTCGGCTGCTGCTTTGGGCGTGGCGCCAGTGACACTTCTTCAGGCTTGCCTGTCCGGTGGCCTTGCAGCCTGTGTCTCACGGCATTCATGTGGTGCGGCTGACAGGGCAGACAGAGCGTGTCACCCACATTCAACAGATGAGGTGTCTGTTGCTGGAGAGTGCGTGGGGTCAGGAGTGGCCGGTGGAGCTGGATGGCGCCCATGCCTGCGTTCTCAGGCCCCAGGCCGCAGGCTTTGGGAGCCTTTCTGGCAAGTGGTCCGTGTGTGAGACCCTGCAGGCGGGTCTCAGCCGCTGGAGTCGGGCAGGATCAGCTGTGTTGCTCAGGACCCGGGCCTGGTGCGGCTTTTGGTAGCAGTGAAAGGAGAGATGGCATCGGGCTTATGTAGGCTCGTCGTGTTACTTGTGGGAGGAGAGTGGTGTGCTTTACACGACTCTCAGCCTGGTGGTACCCAGACCCCCGCCTGCCTCCTGCCTGCACTGCGGCGGGGCTTCCTCATCCCCACCTGGCCTGCGTCCACGCCCCTGAGCCCACCACCTCATCTCCTAACTGGACTTAGTTCCTCCTGCTCACCTCCATTCCACTGTCTACCTCGCCATCCCGCCTGCCTACTTCAGATCCTTTAGAGTGAAATGAAACCTGATCCTAAGAACCCTGTCTGTCCGTTGCTCATGCTTCCCCACGCCTCACTTCCCAGTCTGCAAACCCAGCCCCCGCCCTCGGCGTGCGGGACTAGGCAAGGCCCCGGGACCGTAGTCGCTGGAGCCCGCGGCCTGTGCGCAGTCCCAGTCACAGCGCGCACACTCGGCAGCCACAGCTTTTGCTCCCGTGGGCCTTCTTTTCCCTATTTTCTGAGATTTCCCTCTCTCCTAGACGTCTTCGTTCTTTTTTGTGCCTTCTTTTACCTAAAGGTCATCCTTAACACCCTTCTCTTTCTTAACAGGTGGTTCCCAAATGTTGGCCCGTCTGGGGGGCCATGCGGAGGGGGTAGCTCAGGTTGGAAATGCAGATTACCGTGTACTGCCCCAGAGCGTACTGCCCTGGAGACGTTCGGGCGGTAGCTCTGCAGCGGGGCCTGGGGATGTGCACACCCAGCCGCTCCTGGATGAGACCTGCGCAGGCGGGCCATAGGCCACATTTTGAGAAACTGCCCTCTTAGGGGGGTCACGCTCTCCCCTAACCTCACTGTCCCCCTCTTCCCCCCGCCCCCCGCCCTGGTCCTTTGCTCACCGCTGCCCACTAGCTGTGCTCATGGCTGCCCCCTGGCGGTAGGCCCCAACCGGCCAGCTCCCCCTCTCGCTTCCAAAGTGCACAGTGCTGCCAGGCTGCTCTTCCAGAAACACATTTCTGGTCACCCCTCCTCCTGTGCAGTGATACTCAGTGGTATTTGACCTGAGCACCAGGTTCAGACCCCCGAGCTTCGTACTCAGAGCTGTGCATAGCCCCACCCAGCCGCTCCTGCGCCACGCAGGTTTTCGCAGGTACCTGCAGGCTCCCGCCTACGCGTGTGCCCGTCCCTGCTAGGAACGCCCTTCTCCCCAAGGGCTTCCCTCTGCAAAGGCCGGCCGAGCCCTGTGCTCCCTTGCCCAGTGCTGACTAGAAGTGGCCCCATGTGTTCCGTGACCCCGCAGCACTTTGTGTCTCGCCTCTGGCACTTGCCACTCCGGCTGGCGTCACTGCAGCTGATCATGTACCGTGTCTCACCTCCCTTTTTAGACTGTGAGCTCCTCGCGGGCAGGGACCATCTGTGTTTACTCTTTGTATTTCCCGTGGCACCTGCACAGTGGTGTGCGCTTGGCAGGTGCTCAATAAATGTCTGCTCAAGCGAACTGGAGGACGGTGCCTTCTTGACTGCGGCATCTGGCGGCAGGGCCCAGTAGAGGCCAGGAATCCCTACCCCGCTGTGGGAGACCAGGGCGGGGGCGGGGGGGCTGGCTCTGCTGGGCTCGCAGCACGCCCCCTGCTCCCAGGACAGACCGCTCGGGGGTGGGCACCTGACAGCGCACTCCCACCTCCCTGCAGGGGCGGGCAGAGTTGTTCTCCGGGATCTTCCTCCCTGGCGGTGGGCACGGCGGGGTGAACTGCCCAGATACGGGAGGCCATTGTCTGCCGTGGGGAAGCTGGTCTGTGGCAGAAAGGAACAGAAACGAGAGATTGCTGGCAACACGGGTTCTGCGGTCCTGTTGCCGGGGAAGCCCGTCCTCAGATGTCGCCACACTTCCCCTTTCGGTTAAGCTAGTTGCAGTTGGATTTGCTTTCCTTGAAGTCGGGAGTCTTGAGTAACGTGCGGTGCCGTCCCTAGCAAGGCCCTGCAGATCGACTGGGAGACATTCATCTCGCACGTAGAAACGTCCCAAGGACTGGGAGTGTCCACCCCGCCGAAAATGGTGTGAGAGCCTGACAGTTTCTGGGTAACTCGAAACTCACCCTCTCGGCCCCTCAGAGCTCTCCCCACCCCACCCCTGCGCAAGCTGTTTCCTGCTGCCGCTCTTCCCGGCATCCTGCGGCCTCTGGAGTTGCGTCTCCGTCCTTTGCTCCATTCCCCAGCTGGGCAGAGGCCAGCCCTGCGCATTTGGAGTTTGACCTTTCTGGACGCGTCGGTTTCCTCCTCTAAAATAGGCATCGTAAAATAATACTTCCTACCTCAAGGGTGTCGTGAGGAGTAAGTGTGTTCATACCAGTGAGGCGCCCAGGACGGCACTTGACCCAGAGCCCATTCAATGACGGCATGGTCACGGCTCCCATTGCCAGCCCTGAGGACGCCTATGGAAACCCGTTCCCCATCCTTCCAGATCATCCCACATCTCTACTGGCCTGAGCCCAGAGATATCATCTCCAAGTGCTCAGAGACCTCATCTTCCAGGTTCTGAGTGTGCTCCTCTGTCCTGATTGCCACCAAGAGGGTGTGGACTGGGGTGAGGGCACTTAGGTCCGTGCCCACACCTTCTTCAGAGCCCCCGCAGGGCTGTGGGAAGTGCCGCCGTGGCCGGCAGAGGGCATTGTTCCTTTGACAGGGCTGGCGCCCAGGAGAGCCCCTCAGGTCTCATTGCCGGAGAGAGGACAGGGGAGTGGGCACGGCCACTGCCTGCCCACACGGTGCCAGGAAAGTGAG